GGGGCGGGCCCCAGCCATTTAAATTTAAATGAAGCCGCGATTATTTTAATCGCGGCTTCATTTCCCTTTTCCGATCTGGCTAATCTACATGCCTCCGTCGAAGGAGGCATGTAGTCTAGACACACCCTAAGAAAACAATATGGGTATCTTTGCAGCCTTCTAACTTGCTAATGATGACTCCAGACAGCTCAACTAAAGTCACTGCCTCAGATGGCTCCAGTGTCCTACTACTGTTGATAGAGATCCCAAGCCTTTCAGCCTCTCATCCTGGAGATTGTTACAACAGCCTAGGACAAAATGGGAGTATTTGGGATACTGCATGTTTTCCTCTTCCTCGCCACTTTTCCTCTACCCTCCATGATGGACTCCAGACAACTGGAACATGTAGCGAACTTTGTTTTCTATCCTTTAAAGAAATCCTTAAAATTCCCTTTCTATTTAGTAGGAAAAATACATATAGCATGATAATTAAGATTATATTTACCTCACAGCTGGCTTGTTTAAAGTAGAATATAGCTGTTGTGATCTGCAAAGAAAGAATTTGCTTTACAATATAGCACAGTTCACCAGTCTGGATATTCAAGAAGCCCAGTAACATTGTGCCTGTCTGGGCCGGTAGAAAATGTGTGCGCTCTGATGACTGAAGTCATTCACATGTATAAATCCTTGCAAGATTGAGCCCTATCAGTACTGACAGTTCAGGTATAAGGCACAGAACATCACAAACGGTACAGACAGCGAATAGTCACAGAACCACAACAAACTATATATATTTCTTCCTTCTTGCTTTTAGGTATTTGAATGCTCAGGTTAGGCACATCAAGGACAGATTTAATTGCTATCAGTAACAATGTAAACAGACAGCAAAGACATGACACATCTTTGAAAGAGTTTAAAAATAAATATGTTTTCCTTTTTGTACATCTCTGTCCAGGTAGGAGTTACAGATTCATTACAGTACAAAGTCATACTAACTCCTTAGTACTTCAGTAACACTAGCTCTTTAGCTAGTATAGCCACATCTTTTTAACACTTTTAAACAGTATGGGTCACATTCTGTACTAGCATAGCAAATTCAGCCCCATCAGTAGCAATGTTGTGCATAAGGTCCTTTGGCTAGATCACTGAAAAACAATAAATTGCCATAAAGTTAAGCTGGTAGTGAAAGTAAAGAGTCTATTACTTGCCACATCTCCTTTTACAAGTTAATTTAGGTATTTCAACAATACTCGGTGCAATCCCTGTCCTATGGGCTTTTTAAGTGTTTTTGCATTTCTTAGCATAATATCAGATACTCTGTACAGATCTATCTATATCACTTAAAATATTGCCTCCTCTACCAGAGAGAACAAAACATCAAGAGCAATAACATGTTTAATCATACTCAGTTTTCTATGACTACAGCTGAGAGTCTTAATCTAGGGTGATACCACATTCAGTCCTTATTTGGAATTCTTATTGACTTTAAACTCCTTGAAGGAGGAAACAACATGGACCCTAGAAATACTCATCTTGATCATCAGTGCAATGATGTAGCCACCTCCCAAACACCCTCCTCAGGGCTGGAGATGGTTCTGTGGCACCTTGAAACAGTTTTCCTCTTCAGAGCTCCCCAGGTTAGTGCTGAACTAAGCTTTTCAGTCAAGTCACAAAGTTAACTCCTTCCAGGAGTAACAAAGAGCCCAAATAAAAAGCTTCTTCAATCCTGCATAGGCTTCTTTTCAAGCCATTCTCTGGGCCCTGTTGTCAGCCTCTTTGTGAGCTATATTTATGTCTTTCTCCTGATCTGGCCTAGATCACTCAGCCCCTAGACTGGCTCTCCTGGACTATCATTCTCCTGCAGCTCCTAGCCAGGCCCTTCATTGCCTACCTCCCCCTTTACTCCCAGAGTGACCACTTTCAGCCCTTTTATAAGACTCAGTTATCCATACAGGTATGAGACAATCCTCTTCCTCCCAGGTGCTGAAGCAGCTAATTAATTATGGCACAGTGGGGATGGTCCCACCTCCCTTTAAAGGCCAATCATACAAATCTGAGCAAGCATCATCAGTCCTTCTGCAACTGCTGTTACACGCAGCATCACTGAGTTATAATTAGAAGTACACATCAGCTGCTGATAGTTATATTCTTAGTTACATGTAAAGCTTGCTCTCCTTTTCTTCTTTTAAAGTCAGTCAGAAGTGAAACTTGGAAAGAACTTTGGTCAGCTTAAGTAGCAGTAAAGAACTTGTAGGCATGGCACAAAGTCATAATGAAGAGTTAAAGAGCCTGAGGACATCTAATTTCAGTACATAGAATAGTATCATAGAATACTAGAACTGGCAGGGACCTCAAGAGGTCATCGAGTCCACTCCTCTGTCCTCATGGCAGGACCCAGTACCATCTAGACCATCCCTGATAAATGTCTATCTAACCTGCTCTTAAATGTCTCCAGAGATGGAGATTCTACAATCTCCCTAGGCAACTTATTAAAGTGTTGGGAAGTTTTTCCTAATGTCCAACCTAATGACAGTTACAAAGTTTTTCTGATATAGATATCATTGCTAAAAGTGTACGTCTGTATTGTTGTGGAGAAAAGTGAGAAGTGTAAAAAGAGCTCAGTCCATCAGATTTGGAAAATGAAAATAAAGCCATTGAAGGCTAATGAAAAGACAAATAAAAATGTATTGTATCTTATAGATGGTGTCAGCAATTGATGCAGTGAATGATAGCAAATGTAATATTATGTGTCCCCACTATATAGATTTGTAAAATAATATTGTTGTTATCACACTGCCCAAGAGCCCCAGTCATGGCCCAGCCCCCCACTGTGCTAGTTGCTGCACAGAGACAGAACAAAAACACAATCCTTGTTCCCCACAAAAGCTCATAATCCAAGTAGAATTTAAGAGACAACAAGGAAACAACATGATAATATTGTTCACATTGAGAAGATGGACTTTGGGTTGGGGAAAGGGGTGGAACACACAACAGAGCAATGTGATAGCAGCAAATAGTGTATCAGTTTCTCTGTTGGGGGTGGAGGGGAATGGTTTTCTTAGGAGGGGATCAACTATCATCTTCAACGATAGACTCTAGAATACTGGTGCCTATTTCAACTGTCCTCTCAAGAAGTTGATAGGGTGCATCTAGACTGACAAGATTTTGCACTTAAGTGTCCGCTTTTGCGCAAAATCTTGCCAGCTGTCTACACTGGCCGCTTGAATTTGCGCAAGAGCACTGAGTTTGTAATGTACAAAATCAGTGCTTCTTGCGCAAATACTTTCCCGCTCCCGCTCGGGAAAAAGCCCTCTTGCGCAAGAATACTTGCGCAAGAGAGCCAGTGTAGACAGGGAAGAATTGTTTTGCGCAAAAAAGCCCTGATGGCTAAAATGGCGATCGGGGCTTTCTTACGCAAAATCGCATCTAGACTGGCCACGGATGCTTTTGTGCAAAAGCACTTTTTGCGCAAAAGCATCCTTGCCAATCTAGACGCTCTTTTGCGGAAATACTTTTAACAGAAAAACCTTTCCGTTAAAAGTATTTCCGCAAAATCATGCCAGTCTAGACGTAGCTCTAGTGTTTAATATGAGTGTTGTGCTCTTATTTAATCACCGTAATCCTGAAATGAATCTGATCCTAGATATACATTTTCGCAGGAGAGGAAAAAAGAAATTATTGTATTATACTGACACTATGAATAACATGGTCAATCCACCTTTGACCATTTCTGTATGTTTTCATGATCACAACATTCATATCCAGGACATATTGAGTTTTCCAGATCAGGTTTTGTGGTCAGAAGAAAAATCTACTCTTTACAAGGACCGAGCAAATTCTAATTGGGGATCTTACTGCCATGGCAGTTAAGATAAATTATTATTGGCTCTACTTTGCACACCCACAAGCTGCAATATTCCTTATCTGTCTTTGACTGGCAACAAGTATAACATTCTCCCCTGGAGCTCAAAAAGGTAAAACATTCTTTCCTATGTGAAAAATCAAAGGAATCATTTCCAATTTGTTTCTCCCAACTGAATGCCAATCAATCAGTGGAAATGAGGCAATATAACAAACGCATCATAACATACATCTTTTGCAAAGTAAGATCTAAATCATAGAGATGAATGATCACTACAGGTAGAGATCAGTGAAACTTAATTTCACAGTATTAAAGTTATTACTTCCTTATATATATCAGTGGGACTTGGATGAACAACAGCATCTAAACCCAGTAAAGCCCATTCCAACATCTTTCTGTTTTGCAGCAGATTGATAAATTGGGTTTGCTTCTCTTGACATTTCTACAGAACAGGCAGAACTACACAGGCAAACTATTGTAAATCTGGGAAATATTTCTAAGAAAAAAAAGGTGAAAACTTTTAATGGAATGGGAATTTGTTATTTAATAAAATCAGAAAATTTTTCAAATTATAAATTCACTTCTCTAAATTATGCCACTGAACATACATGCAGCTAACCAGGTAATCAACAAGAACAATTACATTATTTCATTATACATCAACATCAGTCTGTCTGCATGAACATGCACAAAACACCTGTAAGGTAGCCACCCTACACCAAAAGTATATTAACAAAACTAACTCCTCTCTCCCCCCAAGACAAAACCACGCAAATTTCTCATTGCTGGCTATAGAGCAAATGCTTGTGAAAACATTGGTTTATCAAATATTTGTGGCTGTATGTATACCATTGCTCAACCAGAACATATTATAAGTAAGTTGACTTACTTAAAATATATTGGATGGAGGATAAAGTAGTGAGAGAATAAATCCACAGAAAGTATTTATTTCTTCTCAATAGCTCCCTTTTGTGTCTTTTCTTATTCTCCATTTTAAATCCTAATGAGAAAACAATCCCGAATAGTCATTTTCAGATATTTTTCACTATATGCCCAAACCTTTTTTTTTTTTATTAAGTGTACAAAGCAGGTTGGGTATCAACAAAGGTTTTTTTGGGTGTTTTAGGTACCTGTCCATATGCTAGATTCAGGATCCTGAGTTAATGGTAAGAATAGTAAGAAACAGTTTTTTATTACCAGGATCAGGAAATGGATAAAATAACAATAATAATGGATAAAAAAAAATTCAGATATATGTTTAAATACTGACATTTCTAGGTAATGTAGTATATTTCAAATATTTCCAAAGACAAAATACAACATATTAAGACAAACTAATGAAACATCAGTAATTTAGGAATACACACCTTCACACAATAGGGTCCTGATCCTAGGACTCATTGGTGCTATGCTAATAAAAATAATAGGTAAAAATTTGGCCAGCAGAATATTTTATTACAATATTAGCACGGATTATAAGCATCCTGCAGCTACACAAGTGTCAGTTATTTTTTAATTCATTTGAATTTATGACAGGTGGAGGAAATATTTCAGTTTTTAAAGAATTTTTAAGGATTTGCACACATTTTGTCAAGAAAACAGTAAGATAATCAAGAAGGACAGTAGACAAAATAATGGATAACAGAAAATTAAATTTCCTTGTTATGTGTTAATTTTTCCCCTCC